ACACTTACGGAGTACATTGAATCAGTTGTACTCATATTACGCTTCTGCACTTCTTGTTATGTTTGGCATCGAACCTAGCGGTACATAAAAGACGGACTGCTTGCTTGGTTGTGGAGACTCGAGGTAGTGCTGCAACTCTCGTCCGTAGGCCTTGATGTCACCCATCTTTTAGATATTCTACTGTTTATTCGTATTAAATAGTGTATTTATTATTTCAGATAGTGTATTTAGTAATTCTGTAGATGCTCATATAATTAGTGACTTCGTTTTTGCGAGGTGTTAGACGGTTGTTGGTCTTAGTTGTGATATACATTATTGGAAACTTTGATGCTCGCCACGTGTACAAAACTTTAAATGGAAAGTACTGACGGTTGCATGGTAAATCCTACCTAAACTCTTTCTGCTATATAAACGCCAACGATCATGCCACTTCTCAGATACTTCTGGAGACTTACTCGGAAAGTGGGGTACTATCTGTATTGATAAAATTTGACTCTGACACGTGAATAAATCGTATAAAGATACGCATCACTTGGAATAAGTATTACCGCGGGGACAAGAAGATAGCGGAATTTTTTCCTCACTGGAAGAACATATGGTTCGGCAACTCCTTCCCTGGAACAAGGGTCGTGCCCTGGTGAAGCGCCCCAAAGATAGTTCCGGGAATCTATCAATAAAGTCATGGACTAGGATTTGACTTGCTCCTCGACCATTCTCAAAATATTAGGGATCGACTCGTATCCACTATGCTAGAAATTTCTCCCACAAACGACAAGAATCTCGGCAGTTCTTAACCATTGAGAGCGACCTGCGAAAGTGGGATGATCATGTGAATGTTGGACTTAGACTATAAATTCTTTTATTTTTCAAGCATTGTGGCTCGCAAGGAAGATCAATAAGATCACTCTTACTTTTACTTATTCACTTTTATTGCTTTATCCACAGCTCTTGTAGCCTAATCCCACCATACATTTGACTAAGCTTTGATTCGAACCGGTTGCTAGTAACCTCACTAAAAATAAATTTAATTGTTTATTTCTGAAATTATTTTTGGGTTAAACAGTTCTGGGTAGAACTTTAATGTCTCATTTTGTTCGTGCTATTTATTAAGCCATCAAAGGGTGTGATGGGATGAAAAATATTCGTCCATTTTTAAACAGAAATTTTGGATTAATCAAATGCCTTAAATGGATAAATTCTTGATAGGTGCGGTTCCTCCTTCTAATTTGAATATCTATAAATTTGTGTATGAACTTAATTATTAATGTCTATAAATTTGAGATCGTCGTAGGAACATGCAAACTTCAAATCCTGAGATAGCAGGTGTGGTAGCTAATTTAGTTGATGTTGATATATGAAACTAATTTCAACAACTGAGATAGCAGAAATACCTACATGGCCGTCAGTCATAATATTTGATTAATACCATGTCCCTTTCACAACTAAGTTTGGTAGCATATTTTATGATTTTATCTATCTAATCACTTGTCGTTTTATTATTAGGATGATATATTAAAAGAAAATTTATTTGATGCTATGTCCTCTCCGCAAGCTCAAAGTCAGTTTCGGTATAGATTGCTTCCAGAACAAGAAAATAATGTTTCTATCCCTGTCAACGTTGAACATGAAGATGTGCTGTTTTTAAGTGTTACTATTAATTATATCTTGTATTAAGATATAGGAATATCTTTATGATCTCTTTTCATAATTCATCTCTTTCTAGAAATAGTTTTGTCCGGTCCTGGTCTTCTAGAAAGCGATTTAATTGCTATTTGGTCCCTCCGGTCTGTTTAGTTACGCGGAGAATGCTTTGCAGATGCCGATACTTTTGTTTAAGTTCAAAATAGAAACTTTGTGCAATGGTAAAAGATTGTGTGCATATTTGTAGAATTATAATTAGTAACCTTAAAAATTCTATATGGCTGTTATAAAGCGATAATTTGACAAGGAGCATTCTACTATAAATATGGATGTTGCAGTTCAATGTAAAAAATTATTATAGAGAGGTAATATATAACTTAAAAAATCGGTTCTGAGAAAAACTTGGCTTTTATAGTGAATATCTATTATATAGGGATGTTATTATAGAGAGGTTTGACTGTAGATATATATTTATGTTATGTATAATGTAATGGTAAAATTAAAAATTTCACTAAGAGTATTTAAGGTTTAAGATCTATATATTTTGACCAATATATACAATAGAATAATTTTTTATATACTCAATACAATTTTTATATGAAGATTGTTCAACTGAGCACCTTTTATTTTATGTGGCTATGTCATTAATATATAAATACAGTACTAGGAATCCAGAATCCTAACCACTGAACCCATCACTGTGTTTGAGTTCTAGGTCTATAATTTAGTACTTTTCAGCAATACTTATAGGTTTTACAAAAATAAATTCATGTTTATACTAAAAGTTATGAGATCAAATAAACCCATCAATATTACTACTAGATTTGCCGTTGATAATATATATTAGGTTCGGATGAATCTGATGAGTCTATATTGCATTAAATGGTACCCACCGCCTAATAACTTTATCAAGCTTAACATTGACGCCGCCTTCAATCAATCAACCAATAGATCGGGAGCTGCAGGAACTTTTCGCAACTCCACTAATCAATGATCCGGGGATTCACAACCAATTTAACATGCTTCTCTGCTACTGAAGTTGAACTGATAACAATTCGGCTAGGCCTATAGTTAGCTAAGGACTTTAGCCTCGGGCCACTTCAAATAGAAACGGATTCACAGGGTCTATGCACCATGGTCGAACATGGTAATGAACTTTGCTTGCCTATTATTTCTGACTGCAGATCACTGATGCTGGAACTGGATCGCGTGGAGCTTAAACATGTTTACCGTGAAGCTAATGTTGTAGCACATGCCTTGGCTAAGCATGGTATGAACCTCACACCATAAGATAGACGGCACCCATGGCATCTCTTATATCACTTATCCCTCCCCCTCCCCCCCCCCCGTCCCCCTTCCGTCTTCTCTACTTACTACTAAGACTCGACGAT